CAAGTATGATAAGTGGGTTGGAAATATTGACCTGCCCAGAGAGGTTGAAATGGTTTGTTTAGTCTAGAAAATGGAAGATTGGTGGGAGGCAGAACAGTGTGTAAATGTTTAAATTGCAGTAGGAACAGTGGGAATTGTCTTATGTGAATGCTAAGAGTTGTGCAAGAACACTGAGGGACTGAAACTGTAGGTGTAGGATGTGAAATTTGGACTTATCAAGACAGTATAAAACCTTTGGAATAGCAGTGTCACAATAATATGAATACAGATACAGTAAGATGCTAATGTTAACCGTTTTTTGTATCAAAACTGACTTAGAGATGGATGATAATAGATAGATATTTATACTGGTAATGCCTTGTGTGTAGTAAACTAAACTTTCACCTTAAGTTCAAACCTAATAGGGGAGGTATTCCAAGGAGGAGACTCCAAGTTAACAATCTTCAAACAGCTACAGTGAGAGACAAATTCTAGGCAAATCTTCAAACTAGGCTCTAAGATCATTCCATAGTTCCCTCTCCCGAAGTGCTTTGGCAATATATTAAAAATAGCATCCTACAGTCCTCTGAAGAATCCTTAGGGTTCTCCTTCAAGAAAAACAAGGACTGGTTTGATGAAAACAATCAAGAGATCCAGGAATTGTTGGTAAAGAAGAGAACGGCCCACTAAGCACACCTTGCTCAGCTATCTTGTCATGTAAGAAAAGCAGCCTTTTGTCTTGCATGCAGCAAGCTCCACAAAAACTTCGAGACATCCAGAACAAGTGGTAGATCAATCTAGCATAAAAGATTCAATTATGCGCAGATTTGGGTGATTACAGAGGATTCTATGAGGCTTTGAAAGCAGTGTACGGACCTACATACCAGGTTCAAAGCCCTTTTACTCAGTGCAGATGGTCAAACACTTCTGACAGATAAAATTTCCATTCTGAATTGATGGTCTGAACATTTTCAGACTCTTTTCAGTACCAACCGTGTAGTTCAAGGCTCAGTAATGCAGTCCATCACACAACAACCGGCGAAGAATGAATTGGATATTGCCCCTACTATGGGAGAAACTCTTAAGGCCATACAGCAGGTGAAAATTGGCAAGGCAGCTGGGGTTGATGGAATTCCACCTGAAATCTGGAAGCACGGGGGCCAAGCACTCCATGCTAAATTTCACGAGTTTGTGGTGCGCTGTTGGGAACTAGGTAAACTACCATCAGACCTTCGTGATACAGTCATCATCACTTTGTATAAGAAGAAAGGAATTAAATCAGACAGCTCAAACTACCGTGGTATTACTCTGCTCTCCATTGCTGGCAAAATCCTGGCAAGAATACTCTTGAACAGACTAATACCCACTATAGCAGAAGGAATTCTACCTGAAAGCCAATGTGGCTTCAGAGCCAATAGGAGCACCACAGACCTGGTATTTGTTCTCAGACAACTGCAGGAGAAGTGTAGGGAACAGAACAAAGGTCGCTGTGTAACTTTTTTGATTTCGCCAAAGCTTTTGATACTGTGAGCAGAAGAGGTCTGTGGCAGATTTTGGAACGATTGGGATGTCCCTCCAAGTTCCTCAAAATGATCATCTCACTCCACGAGGATCAGCATGGCCAAGTCAGATATGGTGATGCATTTTCTGAGCCCTTTCTAATAACCAATAGTGTGAAACAAGGCTGTGTTCTTGCACCAACCCTATTCACAATCTTCTTCAGCATGATGCTCCAAAGGGCCACGGCAGACCTTGATGAAGAAAACGGTATCTACATTGGATGCTGTATCGATGGAAGCCTTTTCAACCTAAGGCGACTGAAGGTCCATCCTAAGACTTTAAATCATCTTGTCCAGGAGCTGCTTTATGCTGACGATGCCGCCCTCGTTGCCCACACAGAAGCAGCTCTGCAGCGTTTAACATCCTGCTTTGCAGACGCTGCTGAGCTTTTTGGGTTGGAAGTCAGCCTGAAGAAGGCAGAAGTTTTCTACCAACCTGCACCTCAGGAAGTCTTCCATCATCCCCATATCACCATTGGCAAATCAGAACTCAAGTCAGTCCAACAGTTTAATTATCTGGGAAGCATCATGTCCTCGGATGGTAAGATTGATGAAGAGACAGACAACAGGTTAGCAAAGGCATATAGTGCTTTTGGAAAACTCCATAAAAGAGTTTGGTGTAATAAACACCTGAAGAAAAGTACCAAGATCAGTGTTTACAGAGCCATAGTGCTGTCTACTCTCTTATATGGATCTGAATCATGGGCCATCTACCACCACCACCTGCGACTCTTAGAACGCTTCCATCAACGCTGTCTCCATACAATCCTAAACATCCACTGGTCAGATTATGTGACCAATACATCTGTTCTAGAACAAGCAGCAGTCACAAGTATTGAGGCCATGTTGCTGAGAACACAGCTGCGTTGGGCAGGGCACATCTCCAGGATGAAGGACCACCGCCTCCCTAAGATCTTGCTTTATGGTGAACTTGCCACCGGCTGCCGCAAGAGAGGAGCCCCGAAGAGGAGATACAAGGACTCCCTGAAACAACATCTCAGCCTTGGCCATATTGATCAACATAACTGGTCTGCTCTGGCCTCCAATCGGGAGGCCTGGAGACACACTGTATATAACACTGCTGCTTCTTTTGAGAACACATGCAGAATCATTCTTGAGGAGAAAAGACAACTGAGGAAGAACCATGTCTTGCCAATACCGCCTAAGGAGACTTTCCGCTGTGCCTTTTGCATTGGCCTTTTTAGCCACCAGCGCGCTTGTAGCAAGCGTGGATAGAATCCTTCTCACATCTTCACTCGTGAAGCCTAGCCATGATGATGATTCTAGCAGTGCTAGAAGTATGTAATGCACTTCTAAACTCAGTTAGCCTGACTGCGATTAGAGATTTCTAAGAAGCTAATGACCAAAAACTATAACTGGGAATTACACTAGCATGGAGGATATTGGTATTTGGCATAGGGACTGGAGAATAAAAACAACTGTTATTCATAGGATGTCACTGTTCCTGAACACGAAGATCAGGCAGCTATAAATTAACAACAATTTTAACATGGTTAATGAGGACATTATAAAATGCCCGGTTGTAGAAAATAAGCTTGACATGATCAAGAGTAGATTCTTAATTAAACATCTGAGTAAACAAAGTACATAACAAAAATCCTGTTTTTAGAGGGACACGTTTTGGTAAATTAAAGGAAATTCTCAGCTGGACTGTGTAGCTGTGAGATCAGAATGTTCCAGGGACCTGGAATGTATCCCCTCAATGGTGCAAATTTTGGCAGGAAGATGCATACCGAGAGTGGAGAAGAAAAGTGTATAGAAGAGGCTTGAGATAATGGATGTCTATCCATCTTTAAAAGATATGTTTAGAATAAACAGCTATCTTACAAAATAAGATAAAAAAGTACAGAGGAGTGACACGTGTTTTATCTTAAAATCAATAAGTCAAGAGTTTGATTAAATGTTGAATAGAGACTGGAAGGAAATTACTTTCAGAGATAAAACTTGAAATCATTCTTGCTTAATATTTTCATAATAACTTGGCACAAAATACAGGGCCTTTCTGATGAAATCTACAAATAATAAAAAACTGGAAGACATTAATAGAATGGGGATATCATACAGGGGAAGCTTTAAGTCTTGAATAATACAAACAGGACAAAATTTAACAGGATAAACTGTTTAAGTCATGCATTTGGGTGCTAGTAACAGAAGGTCTTCTCCAAAACTAGAAACTTTAGGGTAAGAAACAACTATGGAAGACAAGTACTGAGGTGAAAAGGGTTATTCCAAAATGACTAGGAGCTTCTAATGGGACACATCTGTGAATGAGGCAAGTGGTGTTCTATGACATACCAAAAGAGCTATTTCTAACACAAATACCTCCAACACAAATAGGGAACAGCTAGTGTCACTGTACAAAGATCTGGGAAAAATGTCTGTGTATGACTAGGTACAATTTTAGTCACCCCTCTTCAAGGAAACACAACTAAAACAAAAGGAGAAGGGTTAATAGGTTGATGAGAGAAATAGAAAGCACATTTTTCAAAGCAAACTTAAAAGACCTTGATTGATCAGAGCAGCAAAAGAAGAACTCAGAAGAGATATGATGATTGCTTATAAATACATCTGAAGAACAAATACCAGTTAAAGGAAAGAAGTATTTAATCTAAATAATAATTCTGGAACAGAAAAAAAGGGATATAATCAGCCATGAGTATGAACAGAAATTAGAGGTATTAATCAGTAGAACAAAGAAGTTCTTGAGCTACATTCCTTTGGGAGTAATGGGGGCAAAAAAACCTAATTGCCTTTAATGGACCCAGGAATTTTATGAAAGGGATGATGTAACATAGCTACAAGTGACTGCAGGGATTGAATTTGATGATAGAGAAAGACCTTTCCAACCCTATGTTTCTGTTGTTATAAAAAAGTCGTGAATTTTTTTCTCTATTTCCACCAAGTTGGGATAAAAAGTATTCAATTTCATTTGCAAGTTAGAGAACAATGTCAACTTTCTATTAAGACGCTGAAGCAAATTAGCCAAGAAAGTTTTCAAGAACCACTTGAGCAAATATTTTACATGGCTTTTCTAGGTGTACTGGAACAGACTTACAGTTGTGGGTTGGTCTCTTCAGCCCTAAATTTCTTTCTAGCCCTAAATTTCTACAAGAAAATACAAGCTTGTGTCTTTCTGGAGTCTGGCTTAGCAAAACAGCAAAATCCCAAGTAATTTCTGTTGAGTAACTTACACTCTGCAACTTTTGGAGATATTTGCAGTGGTACATTATTTATTATTTTTCCAGTGTTCAGAGTGTTCTAGGAAATTCATAAAGCAAACACAGTTCCCAGCAGGAGACTGGAAGCTTTTGACTTCATACCTGGGGAGTCTGGTATACACAAAAAAACCCCATTGTTGTATTTAGCATTCTCTAGAAGAGAAAATACAGCTTGGCGTGAACTCCATTGTAAAATGCTTTTCTTCTCTGAACTTTCTTCCAGAGTGGCAACAGGATTCTGTGTTCCATCATTCTGGACCACTGCCAGGGACCCTCAGTAATAAACTATGATGATGAGAATGGCAAAACATGTATGCACATTGCTGCTGCTGCAGGCTGCAGTGATATTATCAGTGAGCTGGCCAAAGTCCCAAAGCACAACCTGCAGGCCCTGGATGTGGATGACAGGTAACCATGGAAATTCTGAAATTGAAATTGCTTCTTCCATTCTATTAACCTGAGACCAGCTTTGTTTATTATATAATCATATTCCTGTTTCACAGGCCATGGCCTAGTTAATGAACTGCACTCCACAGAGAACTGCTTGCTCAGAAACACTGCAAACCAGCCCAGCTTACCTGTATCATACCTGGTATAATAACTGACTAGTAGGAATGCTATTAAGCTCTGTATTTCTGGTAGGAAAAGATAAGATTATTCGCGAAAGAACTTTGTCACCACTTGACTTCTTTCAATCGAAAGTGAACATTCTTTTCAAAACAATAGAACAGGATCCTACAACTTGAAGCCAGGATCCTGCTGCTGTTTGTATTTAAGAAATGGCAGTGTTCCTTTGTTGCATTTACGATGACAACACAGTATTCCTCTGGGACCAGGGGATCTTCACTTTCCATTCTGACAAGGCATTTGATTCCTTTTGGGTTGAAATCTCTGTGTCATAAGTACAGAAGAGTCATCTTTCCTCTTTTTCACCCACACCTACCTCCCTTGGAACTTTGCTCATAAATTTAGTTAATGCAAACAGAACCAACTGGCTGTTCACATTGATTAGCTTGCTCACTGAAGCAAAAGCCAAGATTTTCTTGGCTTAGGCCTTCAAGTACTTAAAATAATATCATTCTTCATGGAAAAGTACAGTAAAACAGAACAGAAATAAAACAGGGTTCTGGAGAAATTTCTAAACACCAGTAAAATGTAGTTGAGAAGGCTGTGTTTCTATGGAAAGAAGGGCAAAGGGAGGAGATTAATAACACTTCAGGGTTCATTAAGACACGACCACCTGTTACAAGTTCTCAGATATTTCCACAAAACATATTATACTTGAAGAGGGGAAAAGATAAGCTGTTCACTACAAACACACATAATAGATTTCCATTCTATTGCGTTTCTAACTGCACCCATCTGAAATTGTTGGGATTACAAAGAAACAGACAAAGAAATGTCAATTTTATTTTTTATTCTTAAACTATTTTCTTGTTGTGTTTTTTTATGCTTTCTGTTTTTTCACAAGACCAGAATATTATAATTTGGAAACTGGACTAAAGTTTCCAAATACAAGATGCAAATTTTCTGCCAAGCAGAACATCAGTTTAATTCTCCTACACAGGTTCAAAACAATTGTATGTGTTTTGGTCTGTGTCCATCATGGAACACAGAAATTGGCAAAGTGGCAGTCTGGAAGATGTGTTCAATCCTTCTCATTAGTCTAGGAGAGGATTCTTCTCTCATTACCTTGATGGAGAACCCTGTACCAACCAAAGCTAATTGTGTTTGGTCTAAAGATGAGAAGAGTTTGTCCCTATGCAGTAGACACTACAAAGGTTTTTTCAAATTCTTCTCTGAAAACTTTAGGCACTCTTCCTACTCTGCAATTCCAGCAGTGGAGGAGACGCTATTACACAGCATGTATAGCATAGCCCCATACCTACTTTATCTAAAGCTAAATAAATGCAGCTACACCAATGTGAGATAAGTTGCTGGAGAATTCCTTAATATATATGTCATAAATCTGGACAAGGAGCATATCCTATGCACACCTCATTATGTCATTAAGAGTTTTAGTAGTAAATCTATTCGGCTATTTTAATGATACTCCGCTTTTTTCTGTAGGACTCCTTTGCACTGGGCTGCAGCAGCAGGGAAAGCTGACTGTGTGCAGACACTGCTAGAACTGGGGATAGACAGCAGTCCTCGAGACATCAATGAAAACACTCCTCTGACATATACAATGTACTGTGGGCACACAGCATGCATCAAGCTGCTGTCTCAGGAGAGCAGGTAAAGTTCACACCTTGCTCACATGTTGCCACTGACTAAAAAACAAATGTGTTGCTTTTTGTATGCTAGTGAAGAGTTTGAGCCCTGTGTGATGTCTTCTTGATTCCCATTCAATACTCAGTTCAAGCTTTCCACCAATGTAGCAACATCAGAATTAGTCATCTGCTCATTACTCATTACTGAGGTTACAGTACTAGCCTACCAACCAGCAGAGGGTTCTGAAGTAGTGAGTGTAGCTCTGGCCCAGTCATCTTCATGCAGAAAATTTGTCTTACAGAATAGTTTCAGCCCTCAGATATATATCTTCCACTTTTTTGAAATCTCTATGCACTAGCTGTGCGTTTGCATAATAAGACAGACAGATAGACTGAACACAAAGGCAGCTTTGCCAGATAGACAATAAAATAAATCTCAATTTTTCATCGTCAAGGTAAGGGTTTGAAGTTATTTTCCTAGCCTTCTTTAGTTCTCTACCTTGATTGTCTCTTCTGAGTTCTTCTTTGTTAAAAAGTATAACAAAAGAGTTATTGCTTATGATCTTCCTCTCTCTTTGTATTTCTCATGTTTCAGCAGCTGTTATGTAATTAACTTCCATTCTTCAACTTTGCTAAATGAGGATGCACTTATATTTATCATCACATTTCTTTGTGCTTTCCCCTCCTTTCCAGTCAGTAGTTAGTATTATTTCCTATGCTACAACTTGTGAGACATAGGTATTATTACCTCTCCTCCTTCTCCTGCACTCTGTCTGTTAGAGGACATTCATCTCAAAACCATTACAGCAATACCACTGTAGGTAGTTATCTTCATCGGTCCGAAACTGTGCTGGACTCCTTAAACACAGGCAAGGCAAGGCAAGGGAAAAGGACAAAGGGGGAAAAGGAAAGGAGAAGAGGAGGGAAGTCATGGTAAACTAGTGCCTCTGTTACAATGTTAGCAACGACTGTACTGTTGTAAATACCATTTTCCAAATCGATCATAATACAAAGACCACTTGTTTTGAACCCAGCATCTTCCTGTTGTCATTGGATCTTTGCAGCTGATACATGCTGAAGCCAGAAAAGTTTGTGCGTTTTTCCCAGATAGCTGCATTGGGTTACGTTAAGATGACTCTAAGGCAATCAACTGATAAGAAAGGAGGAAATAACACAGTGACATTTTCAGTCTTTGTTAATTACAAATTTGGAGTCTGAATTTTCTGCACCCTTGAACCACCCCTGCAAATGTATCTGAACAGTATATCACACATTTCATGGTCTAACACAGTTAGTATTTTTAAATTGTTTGGTAATACTGCCATCACATTTTGATTTGTACTTCCAGTAGATCTGAGTCAGTTCATCAGTTTCCCTCTCTGGACAACAGAGGTATAAAGAAAGGACGATTCAGTATGCTGAACCACATCTTCTCTTGCAAAAAAAGAAGAAAGAAGATCAGAAAGCCAGTCAGAAGGAGAGAAGCAGAGAACACCCTAAAGAAGAGACCTCAGAAGTAGATGATATCATCACCTGTTTTGATTGCATTATGAACACAAGTTGCAAAGAGATTCCATATCATTGTATGACCACCCATGACTTTAAAAGAAGGAGCACAGACACAAAGTATCTCATACCAGAAAAGAAGCAACCAGCACGTCAGGGACTTCTGCCCATCAGCATGCAGAGCCTCCCCCCAATCACTGCAGGTAATTCCTTCCTAACTGCTTCCCCCAGAACACAGTGTCAGGCTTCTCTTTCAGCACCAGTACCCACCATTTTCCACACAAGTCTCAAAAGAGTAGGAGTGAACACAACTTGCTGGACTACAGAAGCAGCTGCCAGGCTTTGCTGGATGATCCCTGGAATGCAGACTCTAACCAGCTACTCTCCTACAAAGTCTGTACTCGGACTTTGATAAATTACTTAAACTCTGATAGATCTCACCATGTGCTTTTGTGCCCTCCCTGCCTTCCCTCACTTCCTAGTTCTCCATCAGGTAATCTTTTTATCTTCTCTTTATCACAAATCTTATTATATAGACTGATGTGGCAAGCTGAATCAGAAAAAAATAGGGAGCCATAACATTTCTATTTCTTTAATATTTTTTCAGTATCTTTTCCCATTATGTAGTAGTCATTACAGATAGCATATAGATGGGACATCAGTTGAAAGCTGAAGGTGTGGGAAATAAGAGACTCGAGTAGGTCTGTTGAGCAAGCAAAAATGCAGGTATTTAGGAAGCATGTAAGGTACTTGAGCAATAAGTGCCTCTCAATAATATACATGCTTTGTGAATTGCACGCTAACACCTACTACCACACCTTCTGCTTGTGTCTTCATCTACTCCTGGAAGTAGATGTGCAAGGGAACAGTACTGCACTCAAATCTGCAACTGGTCTGAGAGCTGCTTCTGGATCCAATCACATCCACTGCCATGCTGGACAGCTCTACACCATGCCACTTTCCCTATATATGAGTATTCTGACTCCTGGCTGTAGTGGCACCCCTTTTCACTCTTCTCACTCTTAATGCCAGCTCTTTGGTCTAACATACTGTTCTTATGGTTTCTCCAAAGCTGAATTCAGGTTGCTAAATTTACAGAAGTGGAGTAAATGCTTTTATGCAGTGGTCTGGAAATTGTAATGCAACAGTAATGAAGCAGAGCCTGAGAATTCTAAGGTGAATTTGAAACCAGGGTTTGGCTGGATTTGGGATCTGTTATTTTGTTTGACTCACATCCATGTTTAAATGAATCTGGCTGACTGGCTTGCGTGCAGGAGTTTATTTCAAGGTATTAATGTCTCCAACTTCATCTCCTTTGGGATTAGTCCTATGCCAAAATTAAACACATCTAGCATGCCTTCCAACTATTGCAATATCCAACTGAAAATGAAACAAGCAACCCCAAACTTACTTACCAGTACACCATTAAAAGGAGTAAACATTATACAATAAGTTAATCTATGCTCACCACAAGAGACATGAGCCATTACCCTCCAGTGAAGAGAGGAGTGAGCAGAAACCCTGTCTGAGAAGAACCCCCAATTTGCTGCATGACAGTGCAAACTGTACTGACATCTAAGTGAACTATAAAAAAGCCTATCTTTGTGCACATGTCTGACGAGAGTAGGGACAGTAACTTCAGAATGACAGGCTGAAATAAAGGCTGAAAATAGCTTTTCCGGGTAAAAAGGACCTATTCAAAAAGTTCCACTTCCCAAACGTCAGGCCATATTCCTGAAAGCTTAATAGAACTGCTCTATAGGTGTCACTACTTTTTTACAATGCACTCCTCCCCTATTCACTCAACCATACGAACCCTACTCTCACACACCTACCAAGGATTGCTTCTGCATGACTCATTCTACACGGAATTCTGCAAGGTTCAGCTCACATGTGGAACACGAGAGTACCTGCAGGGCTTCTTTACAGCCTCAGTATAACAGGGCATGGTGAGGCTAATATATTTGAGATATTGGAGTTGACAGCAGTAGGAGGAATGAACTCAAACTGGATAAACCAAACTGGAGGACAACTATTTCTGGGAAATGTTTTGGAATCTGCTAGACTATTAAAACATTTGATGTATTATCAAATGTAATATACTACAGTCTTAAGAAAATTTTTAAATCCTTGTTTGCTCTGGACAGAAGGACAGGTGGTTTTCCTAAAAAAGATGTTTCTATGAACATTCTATGATAAAAAGCTGCAATCAGCTGAATCAGGACAGGCTGCATCCACTCAGTGCTCCATGATCTGCACAGGAACTGGGTATAGAACCAGAAGGCTACATGTATGAATAAGGGCAAAATTGTATCAATTATTTGAATTCTTCTAATTGTCGCACTGGGAGCCACCTTTGCATGTCTAAAGGAAAAGTAATTAATTTTATTTCCGAAATTTTATTATCTCCCTCGGAGAATAAAAAGACTAAGTCTGCTTTAAGCCCAGTTCTCTTTGTACCAGCTCCCTTTAGCAAAATTTTCCAACAGTAAAAAAGATTCCTGTAGCTGACAAGAAGGACTTCCTCTGAAACATATGAATTAAAAGCCTGTAAAGAGGCAGACAGTGTCTGTCAGGAATACATTGCACAACATAGATATTGTCTAACATTTCTTCATGATAAAAAGATCTGCTTATCCGTCTTCATGCCTATGTGTGTGGTTTAAATCTGTCTGCCCCTGTAATTAAAGCCACTTGACTTGCCGTGAATTAGAACTGCATTTACTGTATGAGCTCCAGGGCTTCCAGGTCTCCAGTGCACCATGCCTGCAGGACTTAGAGGGATCAGTAGCAAAGAAAGCCTGGCTCCAGTCCAGCCAGCAGTGCTGTGCAGGCAGCTTTCTCTGAGGAAAAGTATCTTTTGTTGGTTTTTGTTGGAGTTTTTCAGTTGGTTTGTTTTGGGGTTTTTTCTGCAGAAGACTTAGTTGAGTGGAAAAAACAACATCTGAGTTTTGAAGGCACTGAAGTGTTAATACTTCATTTCTCAGTTCATGACTGTGGGGGCTACATATAATTTCCTAATCACTAAATACTTCGGCCAGGATTATGGGTATCAATAATCTAGAGGAACTCAATTTGAAAATTATTTTCTCTGTTGACACACAGTGTTGATTGTCTTGCATGACCATGTCTGTTATTAAAGTCAAAGCTAATTTTTGTGCTCACTGCTACAAAGGGAGCTGGCACATACATGTACCAAACCTTTTAGAGGTTTTTTGTTCTATTTTCTGTGCTCCTGGGAATGAAAGATGAGTCAATTTACTAGCTGAGCATTAGCACTTACACAAAGGGGAGAGGCTGCTATGGGTAGCAGTGAGAATCACCTTACTATTATGCTATTGGTTTCTCTCAGAATTACTGCTTTGTCTTGCCCTCCACTGAGAAGAGCAAAGATAGACTATACCAAAAACTACTGTCAATACTGCAAGAGTGTTTTCCAGCTGCAGTACTGAGCTGGCATCAGCAATCCAAAGCATTTTGTATTTAGGAGCTTTGCAATTCTCTCTTTTTGCAAAACGTACTGCCAGCTACATTCCACAGGGAAAAATGGTGTAACTAGAGAAATTCCAAGTGACATGTGAAAAAGGAAGCCTGTCTCAAATATAAAGCAGCTCTGAGACCGTATCACCCACTCATCTTTTACATTACTAAACTTCCAGGTCTAAGATGATATTTTATTACAGATTTTATTACAGCAGCCCAGTACCTTCTATTTGCTTCAATAGGTAATGTGAAAAGCAGGCTATTATTAAGTTTATATTGGTATAAGCAGGATGGTGTAGTCCAACAGGAAGTATTTCTTGGCCAAGAAAGAGTAGAGCACAGCTGATCAGTGTGGCTGTTGCTTTCTCGAACTGAAGAACCAATTTAATGTGGGACATTCATCATAATATTAACAATTTTTACCTAAAACACAGCACAACGTGGTTCAAAAAGAACAACCTGTAAAAAAATGTCAGCAAACAAAACCAAATGCAGTCCTGCATTTTATAATAATAAAATTGCTTCCTTTCCATTTCACTCAAAAATAAATGCCAAAGTGTGCTCTTGGGGACAGCAAAGATGATGTCTCAAAGAAAGAAAAACTATTTTTTCACATGTTATGTGGAACAAACAGGAAGGAAGAGCGGAATAGTTCCACTTGATGCCAGAATTTTTAAAAAACGTATGCTTTTCCAAGCATTCACAGAGCCTTGCAAACATGATTATGCTTTGTACTGTTGTTTTGCTACCAGATATCCCCATTTACGAAATAAACATATCTCTTGATAGCAACAGCAACCTCCCATCATGAAAGCCATAATGGTACATACACAATAATCCATTAGTTCTCAGCATAAGCATCACTTAAACCAATATAACTCAAATTGCACTAATGAGAGCAACAGATGATCCTCTGCTATATTGAAATTGATATATTTAGTTCTTTGTGCAAAGTGAATGCAATGTCTGAAGAAGAAATTTACCAACTAGACACTGAAGTGTTAAAGACTAAATAAAGAGTAAAACACAGGAAAAGGAAACCAAAGTCTGTTTCTATTAGGCACAGCTTCATTATACAAGATTCTTCATGCTTTAGCTCAATACACATCATCTTTACTCACAAGATCCAGCAGACTGACCCAATGTCTATAACTGCTGTGGTTTTTGGACCAGAATCTTCTTGCATGCTGAGCTGAAGGCTGCACTATAACGTGGTGGTTTGTCTGATAAACACCACTTTAGCTCCTTTCACACAGGATCCATTTAGTGTGGTAGTAAAATAATAAGGTAATTACAGCAGTCTTGACAACTACTTCAGTGCAGCTCTAGTAAACAGCTATACAACTATTTTTCTGTAGCTTTATCTTGCACAGCTTAGCAATACATAGGTGTTTTCAAGTACCAACTACAGAGCCTCAGAGGAAATGAATATCATTCTGTCTCTTCCTATTGCTTAGGATGTCCTGCTACATTCATCCTGCGTCTCCCCTTGTCCCTGTGTGCTGACAGAGCACATGCTTACTCTGCAGTGAACTATGTTGCAGTGTCCTGATGGATGAGCAGCTGTTTGGTAGGACAACTCATAACAAAGCTCATTGCAAATCTGGTGATAACAAGAAAAATAATTTGAGGGACTCAAACATCACAGAATAAGATCAGCTCAGGAAAAGGATCTGGGAAAAATGCCGATTTGGTGCTGGAGTTTCTACTTTTTCAATATTAGTCATGTCATTTATTTAGTGAAATAAATGACTAACATCTTCTAACATACTGTCTATTTTAATAGTATTAGACCAAAGTTAACCTTTATCTTAACCAGTGACATGCCACAATTAGCCAATCAACCTTTCATTTTTCAGTATCCATTCTTCTTTGTAAAAATGAAATTGCCATAAACATAGTTTAATAAGGATCAGTATCAGTTTATATCAATTCTCATACATTTTCATCTGCAGCAAAACACTCTCAAAGCTCATCTTTACTGCTTCAGCCTCCTTTTCCAACCAGCAGTTGAAGTCCATTTGTGTTCTACTACTTAGAAAGGATGAGACCCTACTAGAGTATTTTGCAAACTAAAGCTTCAATTCTGAAATCAAATCCATCTAGTTGAATAATTCTATGAATTTAGTGTCCAAATATTCTTATGCAGAGCTAGCTACTGGACTGTGCCTATTTTAAGACCTAATACTATATTATATGAGAGGAAAGAAGTGATAAGGGTATATGTGAAGGTTATATTAAATCAATCACTCCTTTTAATTAATATAAAGCAAACTAAGCAACGGCTTTTCTTCTCAGTCAGTGGTTTCTTGTTATTACACCCTTCTGAGAATTACTAAGTAAGTTTTCTTTTTTTTTTCCTAGAAACCCAAAATTTACAGTGCACAGTGTATTATTTAAATTATTTTTCTTTCACAGGTAAACATTTACAACAGATATCCATAGACCAACACAAAAAAAAAAATCTTATTCGTGTATGTAACAGCTTAGCTCCCATACCCAACCACTGTGCTCACAAAAGTAAGTACAGACAAGTAAGTACAAGTTACAATATCACACTGTGTGCCTTCATCACTGGCATCTGAAGACTTGAGAGAAGTTTCATGCTCCTTTTTCAAAGCATCATAGAATGGCTGAGGTTGGAAGACACCTCTGGAGACTGTCTAAACCCCTCTGTCCACAGAGAAATCTCCTACAGCAGGATCAATCCAGTTATGTTTCAAATATGTCTGTGAATGGAGACTCAGACAACACAGTTTCTCTGGGCCAACTGTTCCAGTGTTTGACCACCTTCAGAGTAAAAAGGTTTCTTCTTACTTTTTCTGGCCATTGACTCTTTTCCCTGTGTAAGACACCAGTGAGAGGAATCTGTCTCCTTCTCCATTACTCTCCCCAATCAAATATCTATACATATTGATAAGATCCCCTGAGCTGCCTTCTTTTCTCAAGCCTGAACAGACTCAGCTCTTTCGGTCTCCCCTTTGAGGCTGGACACTCCAATCCTTTAATCATCTCCATTGCCCTTCACTGGACTTGCTTCAGTATGTCCATCTCACTCTTATACTGGGCCTCAGAACTGGACTCGCTACTCTAGATGTCTCACCCAAGCTGAGCAGAGGGGAAGAATCCCCTTCCACAATTTGCTGGTAACGCTTTTCCTGATGCAGCCCCAGATGCTGTTGGCTCTTGTAGCCTCAAGAGCACATTGCTGGCTCACACTCACCTTGTTGAAATACAGTCCCAAAGAGCAGGAAAGCTTCACCTCACTCCCACAGCCCTGGCAGAGTGTCAAGACTTAGTGATTGTTCCAGGCTGGATCAAGTCAGCAGGTGGGGTGTTCTTCATATACAAACACTGGCCCTACCCCCAGCAGTGTCCTGCCCTCTCATTTTTCTGTTCCACACAGGACAAATCTCCCAGTGTATACTGGATGGGGATTTGCAGTTTATTGTTTGTCATCCTGCAGATCAGCCAGGCCCTAAACCACTCACATTTCAGAGCTAAATTTAAGACTCTTTTATAATCTGAGTTTCAGAAGCAGTTCTGAAGATATAACAATACTACTAAAAATGAAACAGCAGAGGTAGCCTTATAGGGAACATCAGATTGAGCAAGGATATACAGAATCCTGCACTGCTGCTTCTCTGCAAATAAGAGAGAAAAAAGAAAAGTATAGATATGTGAATTACTGAGGGAGTATTCTCTGTCTGCTCTGAGGAAAGAAGATAATCTAAGTGCTTTTAAAATCCCAGCTCCAAGTGTTCAATTTTTTAAGCTTTCGACTAACATTCTCTGTGTCTTCTAGTTATAAAATAGTTGTAAAAGAATATTTCGAAATCATTGCTGTTCTTGCAGAAGTTCATATAAATAGTCAAGAATTTAGTTCTAGCCTCACGCCAAAAAATGTCTTTTACAAATAAGATAAAATTACCACAACTAATAATAATTAACTAGCAGAGCACATTCATCCAGGTGCCATTACTGCCTGAATATTAGTTCAAGCCAGTAACAGAAAAGCAAAATTATTTGCAAAATAAATTACATTTTTTGTTTCTTAACACAAATGACACATTTGCTCCTGGAGCTTTCCAAATAGCTGTACCAGAGCCAAGATTTCAGTCATCTTCCATCCAGCCCTGAAAATATTGCCATTCTGGACACAGCTTTTATCCTGGCAAAGTGCTCCAGCAACAAAGATGAATGTCATCATTTGTGTTTCTCTAATATTTTTATTACATAAGATATGTGTTAAAAACATGCAAGGAAAAAAAATAAAAAAAAAAAGAAAAGAAACCAAAAAGCTAGAACAATAAAATAAGAATAAACTAGAAAGAGAACTGAAACTACTCAGAGATTAACAGAAAGAAGAAACATGTCCCCAGAAAAAGGAAGGGCAATGAAAAAAAAGAAGAAATACTTAAATCTCTAAGCAAAAACATTCAAAAACACACATTAGAAAATGGAAAATGAAATAGTAACCTAGGAAAAGAGTACTTGAATGACTTTATACCACAGTTTATAAATTCTCACGCTCAAGATATTCCCAAGGTCAAAGAGGTTCCTCACATGGCTTCTTGAGCAGCCTCAGCACGTGTGCTTCACCCCCAGCACACTCTTTCTATTTCATCATACAACACTCCCAACAAGCCCCAGAAAACAGGCTTATAACTATTACACACCCCTCACAGAATACCAGAAGAATTTTCCAATAAAAAAGAGAACTCTTGGCTGCTCTCACTTCTTCATATGGCTTAGAAGGTCTGACACCTCATTGTTTCTGGAGAAAGTGACCTTAGTACTTGTTGAACAAAAAACCAACAACAACAACAAACACAAACAAACAAAAAAAACTATTAAAAAAATCTGTTTCTACAGGTCATGTAACAATATTTTCGGGGGATTGGTGGTTAGTTTTGCTGTTAATGGTCATGATTTGAAGTTTCTTCTTTTCCAAGTTAACGGCAAACCATTTCACAAAGCACCCACATCTCTGCAGAAGGCCACCATTGTCCACTGTTTGCAAAGGAAGGGAGCCTGAGAGCCATTCCTTCTGCTGGACAGTATACTCCTTGGGCAATGCCTCTCTGATAGCCTTGTTCTTACCTCTGCAGTCTGTAATAGCAGCCTCTCAAATGTCACTAGTGAGTGGAAAAGGCTCCCTGAATTAGTAGCTCATATTGTACCACTAGGTCTTCAGCGAGTGACTGTGCCCTTTGCACGTGAGTAATTACTGGTGCTTTTGCTGTATGTAGCTCCTGGATGTATGACAACCCGCCTTAAGGGCTTAAGGGCTCTGCCTCTCACAGATCCCATTCAGGGTCCAGGCTCATGGGTTTCAATACACATACTAATACTAGTCATTATATGTATTGTTTCAAAGTCATCCATGTACCAGTCCTGAATCCTAAATCAAATATTCTAAACTGAGCACAATATGTGCGACTAGGTGGAAAGCACTGGTGTTTGTCATGGCTTTATCACTGGGTTTATCACGGCTACCTGGTCATGGGCATGAGGTTAAGCTACAGTGCTTTTGCCCTACTTAAGCCCTTCATTAAGGGCTTATCTAGTACATAAAGTGTTCTGGATATTTTTCACACAGTTGAGAACTTTGAATACATTAACATGTGACTATGTTCCGAAAAGGGAAACAAATGAGCCTCACAACATGCGTCTGGTTTACTCACCAAAATTTCAGTGAATACAAAGCACTCTGCCATGTGCCAGAAAACAAACGGGCTTGTGTATTGTATTTAGCCCTCTCTGTTTCACACAAATTGAATACCAACTAAAGCAAAGTATTAACGATTTGGCTTGGGTTTTTTTTCATGGAAGGGAGAACTAAGTGATTTCCTGACTTTCTGAACACGAATTAACCTTGAATATGACTCACAAATTGCAGTACACTGCCAAAGGCCTGGCAGCTCTGTTAAATACCGTCTGCTCAGGTCATAACAGCTTGAATAGTAATTGAAATTAGCTTAAAAAGATAAAAAAAAATCTACTAGGTTTCTAAATCCTCTCTGTAAAGATTCTGCTTTGCCCTAAATCAATACCCGGTAAATCTTGGAAAAATATATATTAAAAAAAAAATATATATATATGCAGTCAGGGCCTACTGCAGACATTAGAGGGGTAACATTTGTTTTCAACAGGGCAAAATAAATAAAACACACAATTTCAAGCTAGAACACCTCGGGAAAATGCTAATAGCCTCTCATATATTCCTCACAAATAGGCAGATGAAAGGAGATCACAGATGCAATGAGAATGCAGTCAAGGCAAAATGAATGTGAAAAGTTGCAAGGAAGATTCTGTAGCTGAAACAGAGGTGGTGTTAACTCCAATAGGGAACTCTTCTTATGCTTAAACTGAAAAACCTGAGCTGTTTGTATATTGTATACAATGAGCTTGTGAATAAAATGGAGAATAAAATGAAAAGAAGTTAATACAATTCACAATAAATTCCAAGGCAGAGAAAAATAGGTCTTAAATTTCAGGTTTTCAATTCTCCTTTTAAAAAATCAGAAAATTAATGAGTTGTCAAAATGAAGGAGCTTAAGGATTTCAGTTTAGAGAGAAGATATAGAATTATATTTTAGTTCTATTGTTTGTAAGAGAGAAGACATAGAACTATAAATTTTAGAGAAGATATAGAACTATATTAACATTAAAGCACAAACAATGTTACACTGCTGAGCGTGAGGTGGAAATTAAAGATGATCTAAATCCACAGATTCTTACAAGACTACGACAGAGAGATACAACCTTTGGTCTTTCAGTGTGCATTTCACTGTGCCACAGGGTAATGGGCTACTTTTGTGGCCTGTGAATAGCAGAGCATGTGTGGACCTGTATGACTGTGCCTAAATCAACCCAGACACATTCTTCCATTTCATCTTCCTAAGGTTTTTATCAGCATTTATCAGCACTTATCCTAGGTAATAAAGCATTTTTGGTAAAAACAATATATTCCCATGAAACATTTCTGTTTCAGTCACCCTGTTGTTTGTGATGAAAAAATGTGCTGTGGAAATCTCTCCAAAAGACCAAGTTTCCTCCAGACAAATTATACATTCTCTGCTTATCAAAAGCAAACCTTTGAACTTGTCAAGGCTTATTTTTCACCAAACACAAAATAAATCACTTAACACTGCAGTTGTTTTCTTCAGCTGAAGATTAACCCTGCCAGGCTTATGCGATTTTTTATTAATATTTTGATCACATTTTTCAAATACAGGTTTGAGTACAGACAATAAGAAACAACAGTCCAAAGAAAGTAGCAAACTCATTTGTAAAAATGCTATGTTTTTGACTTTGTGGACTCTTTCTCCTTTTTTTTTTTTTTTTATCTCTAGTTCAGCTATCACCTCAGGATGCTAAGAAGTTTAAGTCCCTAAGGACTGGTGCGGTTATTCTCCTACCAGCTCTAATCTCCTTTCCCAGAAAAGGGAACATTCTCAGAGTCATATCCTCTATTCTCTTTTGCCTGGTCTATCAGGAGAGCCTCTCAAACTAGGCCATGTCCTACCTGCTATCCCAAGCCAGAAGAAATCTAATCCTGCAGAAGAGCTTGAGAAATCTCTCACCAAACCAGATGCTAAAAATTAACTCATCACACTGGTCTAAATCAGTTGAAATAAGTGCAAATCTAAGTGCTTGTTACAAGATAACTGTACAGAAAAATCTCATTAATTTGCACTAATGATACTCTTATGAACTTGACTGTAAATGACCAAAACCGAAGAAAGCATAGCACATCACAAAAGCTGCACTATATATAGATATACACACACATGTATATGTATATATGTGCATTTTCATTATAGATTTCATTTATTATGAAATTACTAAATATTTAATGTTCTGTAAACTTACTTTGTGAATGGAACCCTCAACACATGATTTTGTTGCAGTAATGTGCTGTTAAGCCTTTCAGAGAAAACAGGAACAAAGAGTAAGATTTTCTGCATGATTTAAAAGTCAGAACTTGGAAACATAAATTGACAGGGTTTCTCTGTAGTTTGTAAATACAAAGGTGCTGATTCGGATGCTGTGTACCATCAAAAAAATCTTTTTAAAATTAAAACAATAAGCTGAAAATAAAAGGTAGTTTTAGCAATTGAGGTCTTTTGTCTCTGTTTTTCACAGATTTTCTAAATTAAGTTTGTGGGTTTTATGAATTCAACAAGGTAAAAAAGTACAATGAAACACTAATCCCTGTGGGACAGACAGTGCTGCAGCATACACTGTTCAAAACTGTTCATTTCACTGACAGATTTATGTTTCTTTCATTTAATTCTTCATACACTGCAGTGACAAAAATGCAATTGTGTATTATCTTCATAAAATAAGGATTGCACAGACCTGACTTTTTAGGCATTATTTCATCCCTTTGATCACTGAACTGAAGGAAATATAACCTGACTGCTGTTCTATCAAGAACCTTGGCGAGTACTATAAGCCTTTGACTAAACATTTCACAAGACTATCCTTTTCTAGAGGCCAACAAGGATGCCAGCCTCTGCTTGCTTCAGGATTCTTATCTAAGTCTTGCTGCCATTACTTTAGAGGCTTCCCCACTTCTGATTATAGAAGGGCTGTGGGCATTACTGGGGGTAGGGGGTGGGGGAGGTAGTCCCCTTTCGACACTCTTCTGTATCACCACTGCTAGTAAGACTGTCCAAAATTAGCTCTATATCAGCATCTATATCAGCAGCTCATTCAACCAGAACACAGCACTTCTGTTTATCTCTAGATAAATGTTCTATTAACTGTACAAACAGTTTTTTTGCTATGTCGCAGTAAAAGACAAACCTGACGCAAAGAAGAAGGAGATAATCATGTCCCAATAGCTGCAGTTTCCAATTTCCTTGTGGTAATGACTGTAAATAGAAGGATGGCTGGTGGTTGCCACAGACACTCCCAGAAAGAAAAAAGCAGAGCACAACAAGAGCTGGTCTCATGCAACACACCAAAGAGGGAACTTTTGCACATAAATAAAAGATTGTTTTATTTTTAAACATCTAATCTAAATGTCAGGGTATAAAGCTCAAATTCAACAAGTGATGTAAACATCTAGCTTCTTAATGAAAAACATGAGAGTAAAAAGCTCGTGTGCTTGGACCTCACAGGCAGCCTAATCCCTGAGGCTAGATGGAAAAAAACACTGCATGACAGAAGCATACTCTGTTACAGGAAAAATCAATTCTGCCATGCTCTCTTTGCACCTGACCAGTCCTGCTCAGTCCAGCCTCACTGAAAAGCCCAGAGTCTCTCCTACAGTGTAGCAGGCTGGTATTTGCTCTACAAGGCCACTACCAGAGCTCTCCAGAGCCCCTGAACTTCTCTGCTTGAAACTCCATATATTCCAAATCCCAAAATCTCTATTCTGACCCATGCCACTTTGTATCTCTCCCTGTAGCCTCACACAAGGGACAAGTGGTTCATAAGTAATTTCCTAGAAATATTAAAGCTTCAGTGCAGACTTTATGTCACTACCTCTTAGTACAAAGCCAATGGTTTTGGTGCAGACTGAACAGAGGAGAAGGAAAATAATTCATACAGCTCTGGCTGGCAGCAAATAACCTCTGTGTAAACTCTAAGTGTCATTGTAGACGTCTCAAGAATGAGGTTTGTCTTCACAGAGTGAAAGCCCAAAGTAACCACTCTGGCAAAGATTAATTATCTTTAGTTCAACACACTGCTTGGGAATGAGTACAGCATATGGAAGGAAGGGAAGACCAAATGGCTTAAGTAAATCCCAGTGAGGACAAACATTTGTGACTCCATTGCCACAAAAGCCCTTTTCAATGGGTAAGGAAACCACACTTTTACCTATTAAAACAGGCAAGTCACGTCTTGCAACTCCATTTTTTCTTGAATAGAAGGGGATCCTCATTGCAGCTACTGGCTTTGAGGAAGGAGATGAATCTCTCCTCTCTCTTGGGTACCCTGCCTATCCAGGGACCAGGAGAGTCCTGGGCTGCCTAGGCAATCATAAAAGCTGTGGTGGCACCCATTTGTTTGCCAGCTGCTGTTCCATGCTGGAGACAAATTTGGAGCAGTCTGTGTTGGCTTCCCACAGAGGCTTGAAAAAATTTCAAATGTTTCCAGTAGTACAGCAGGAGAGAAAGGAAGAGAAGTTTCCCCATGCCTTAGGCTACACACTTCCACTCCCAGGAAGGAAGTAATCAGCTGTCTGTTTTTCCTATTTAGCAGTGCTTTGCTAATGCAGCATGGGAGGAAAAACGTGAGTAATGAACAATTTTTGACCAAAGATAACACTGTCTTACAAATGAAATTCCTTCCAAAAATGCAGAATTTTGGGTGCAGTCACCTGAAGCTAGAAAAACACATTACCAGTGCCTCCTCTCCATGCAATACATTTGATTGAGAGGACACAGCTGCTAGATGATTTTTTCCTATCATTTGCCCCTTTTTTCCTCATCTTTTTCTAGGAATGAGTGTTTTCTTCTGTGGGCCTGCAACCAGGAAAGACTTTTCTGGGAAAGGAATGCAAATCCAATTGCCTGTTCAGAGGTATGCGTAAAATACAGATCTTACACAAACAGAATGAATCTTAAATGAATGGTAATATGAACTAAGATCCAGGTCACTGTTCTGATGTGTTTCTTCTGCAGGCTGTCAATAAAGAAGGAGTTCATGTTTTACCAAATATAGATCTTTTAAAATTTAATGCTCATAGAAAGGATTAAAAACTATTCTCAGAAATGAGAAGCTATTCATATCACCAGAAACCATTGTTATTGTTTGGTAGCCAAATTCTACACTAAATAAACAAGGTAAGTTAAGCTGAAGTCTTTCACCTTCAGAGGAGAGCACACTGTTGACTGCAGCATACTGCATGAAAGATAACAAATGAAGCAATATCTACTTATGCTACTCTGACCTTTTGCTCAGACCTTTCCTGGAAGATAATGGCAGGAGAGACAATAAAAGGCTAACACAGCTGATTACCAATTGCCAAGAAATGCCTGGTCAGTAGGTCATGACACAGACTTTTTTCCCCTCTGTCTAGTGATTAAACATCCCTGGCACATTCTTCTGTGACACTAGTGGAGTGTTTACTCATAGACTGTGCGGTACTCGGGGAGTTTCACGTAGCACAGAGAGCTAAGAAAATACATACACATACAGGATATATTTTATGACCAAAACAAACTATATTTCCTCACTGGAATACACTCTATATTCCTTATATCATTATTATGAATGTCATTTCAAAATGCTTTTAAAATGGTGCAGTTTTTATTCCAGCGGACCGTTCACTTATACATTGATACTGAATTGAGTAAACAGTAAACTGTGCAGGGGATTAGCATTAGTCCATAAAACAGAGAAAAATGTTCATATGTAAAACAAAGGATCATCCAGTATCAGGATCCTTCACAGGCTTTTCTATTGATGAGCAGAGTATCTGATCAGCAGGTTAATTTTCTTGTATAAATACCCAAAGAGGAAGCTATATCCTCTAAAATTCAGCCCTAATAAAGCATTTTAAATGCCCCTATCACTGCTAAAAGTAGACATCTCTGTCACTTTACTCCTTAATACACTGCATACTGTTACCATCACTACAGAAATGTCTGCACAATCCAAATGTTTTGCCAATGCAAAACACTAGAAGCATCATATGTCCCTTTGAGACATAAAAGCATAGCAACTTTTCAAACAATTGTAAGAGGACTATAAGAGCTCGTCTGATGATACTGTCATCATGACTAACACTCCTCCTCTGCACCTGCATTATAATAATGATTTAGAAGAAGTACTGAATGTATACATTGTTTGCCTTTGTATTTTAAAAGTGGAATTTTTTCTTATTATTTTCATAGTGTTTCCTGTGTTCCTTAGATCCAGAGATTTTTCTGTGCTGGTCCTATTGATGGAAAAGCTCAGCATTATGACAGAGGCACTTTAGACCAGAGGTTGTCAGGTGTCCAGCCTCAAAGCCACCTCTGACCAAGGGCAGAGAGTAGTACTTTACGTGAAGCTCTTGACAAAGAGCCAAAAAATTAATTCCATTCCCATCGGGATCCTAAAGTCCAACAGTTCTGACCCACACAGTCAATACCGACAAGGGCCTTACCTGATGCAGGTGCTACTGTGCCTAGTAAGGGCACAGAATCACAGACGGGGTCCGATTGGAAGGGATCACGTTGGGTCATCTGGTTCAACCTTCCTGCTCACTTACATGGTACAGCCTCCTGCAGTAACTTTCCATTCCCCATCTCCCTGGTGGTGCTTTATGGTACTTGGCATCATGGTGTGACTTTCTGCTGCTCTGCCTACATGAGGAAGAACCCACAGAGTCAAGGGCATGTCCATACCTGTCCAAGAGGATTACTTGGCTCCATGCACATGTGCCTTCCTGCACCTTTGCACATGTTTCTGCGCTCAGTGTGTGGCATTCCGTACTCTGGAAGAAGAATATGGTGGACGAATGCATCACACAGGAGCAGGCTGAAACTCCCTGAACACATCAACACACTAAGAAAAGGCTTGATCCAGCCCTCCCAACATGTCTCTGTAGCCACAATCATCACTACCCCACAGTCACAGCCTTTTCTAGAAAGATTACATCAGGAAGATTAGTTTGGCAAGATGGGAAGTGAGGGGAAGGGGCAGGAGAAGCAGATCCCATGCTCAAACAGAGTGCCAAAACCTTCAGCTATA